CGGTCAAAGAACTTACGACATAGTAACCACCAGGTAACGACGCTTCCAAGGATATTTCATTCAACTTCATATATCTATTGTTTATTCAAAATCCATCCCAAGAATACGGGGAACGTGACAAAAATTCCGTTGAATGAAAAACCGTGTATCCCGCAAAACTGAATTTCGCTTACAACATTAGTAAGTAGATATTGAAAACCGGCGCTCAACACCTGAATCGGGAAATATTCGTGTAATTTGACAATACAAAAATCAGCTCTGTCAATTCGAAAAAATCCTCGCCGCTTCTACAATACCTACCGTATTGTATTTTTTCGCTTGGATGCTTCGCGTGAAAAAAGTCCGCAGCGCCCGTGCTCGAGAAAATAAAACGGCGTAACACCCTACGTGACTTTGTGTCGCGAAAATCGGCGATCTGATTATTTTTAGCCGACAAAAAGAAAAAAGAGTGTTGTGGAAGCTGTGATGTGAGAGGATGTTGTATGAATTGTATATTCGATTATCATCATTAAAAACCCGACTAAATTACTACGAGACTTTTCATTCATTTTTATACCACTTAGGTGGCAAACAAGCATACGGTCCATCTGATGGTAAACGGTTACCGTAGCCTATGGACGCCTGAAACACCAGGGGTGTCACATACGCGTTGCCGACCCTTAAGAAACCTTAATATACCCTTCTTGAAAAACCCCATGCTGTAGTCTCTCGAGAAAACCTCGGCAGGTAGTTCATTCCACAATCTAAGTGTACGCGGGAGGAAGCTCCTCTGAAACCGCACTGTCCGAGACCACTTAGGTTCCAGCGTGTGGGAATGAATTCCCTGTCGACGGCGAGAGGTGCGATGGTAAAAGGTAGCCGTAGGCATCATTCATCATATATTCGGTAGAACACACAAAGCGATGCGAAGTCTCGCCTCAAGCTAAGTGGTTCGATACCGTTAGAGAGATTGGGATCATCGACAATTCTCATAGCACGTCTCTGAACCGAGTCAAAAGGACCGAGCTGGTATCCAGGTGCTCCTGCCCAAAGATGAGAGCAGTACTCCATGTGCGGCCGAACTTGCGACTTATACAATAGAAGTCTCTGGTTCGCAGTACCGCCTCGGTCTATTCAGCACACCGAGCTTTTTGGACGCCAGCTTGACCTTTTCTTCGAGGTGACTACGGAACTCAACTGTGCTAGAGATGTCGACACCGAGAATCCCAATGCTCTTAGAGATGGTTATGGACATGTTCTGGAATTGCGGAGCCACAGCAAAAGGGGTTTCATTCATAATTTAAGGGCTGTGCTCTTGACGGTGGAGTTCCCGCCACGAGACTATCCGTTCAATAATATATGTTGAATACTGTTATTATATTGCCTTGGCTGGGGTCCTCACTCATATTGAATAAACACTTCTCTAAAACATCCCTGAAATTGCCAAACTTAAGTCTGTGCTCAACAAAAATCTGCAGATTTTGTCAAGGTGAGGGGGAAACGCCACTACCCATCCTATGTGGTTGTAGTCTACTTATGTATCAACGAAATATGTCCTTTAGAATGTTTATACTCTATCCTGAAGAGATACAAACCATCGCTCCTAAGAATATTCTTCAATTCTTGTCCCTCACGGGTAGGTAGCAGACTTTGAAAATGGGCGAACACGATTGTTTTATACAGGTCTTAGCACCAAACAATAGCCCAAAACCCGCATTAATATAAAAAAATTAATGCCTATTTATTACGACTATATTATGATACTGAACACATATATTGACATATTTACCTGTATAATTTTTTTTATTTATGTAATTGGAATGGCAAACATGCTGACGACTCACCTGATGGTAAACGGTAACCGTCGTCTATGTTTAACAAGAGCACTACGGATATCACGTTATCATCATAATTTTGACAATTAATTTTAACATTGCATTTAGCAATGTTTCAATATTTTATTCTATAATCCAGTATCCAGTTTCTAAAAATCTTTGATACAAAAATAATGGCGAAATATGTAGACTATATAGTTAATAGAAACATTCTTTTAATATATGTATATACCATATTTCAATCAAATAAACACATTTCTGTTCACGTGACACCTGCTATACCATGCGTTGTCATTCTAGAGGAAAGATCTCATTACTTTACCTGTAATTCCATTAACTTTACTGAAGAAACTGGTACGTTTCTCGTAGCTGATAACATGAAATCAACAGAGGTACAAAACAAAACCGCGGGCGACGCTACACATATAGTAACAAATAAGGGACGATCAGAAAAGTGTAATCCTCGTGACAAGTATGAAATATGCGAGACATACAATATCCTGGAATTCAGTTAAACTTCACAAAGGAGTCGCAATATATCATAGAATTATTTATTAAACGCTCGCCTTACTGTGCCTTCTTGACTATACACTGCGATTATAGAAATACTAGCTGACCCGCGCATACTTCGTCTGCATCTTTATATTCCGGCTAATTCATATAATATCGTTTTAAATTATAGCCTCTGATGTATAAGCTACATTACTGTAAAGTTTCATCATTATCCGTTCAGTAGTTTTTGCGTGAAACAAACACCACAAACATCCACTCATACTTACAAACTTTCGCGTTTATAATATTAGTAAGATGGTAAATATTTTCGAGAGATTTATTTATTTTAGGAAGATTAACGGTGTAATTTTACATGTTACTTGTTATATCAAATTTTCCTATGCCAATTAATAATCTTCCCCAATAGTATTACTAGATTTAATTTTACAATATCCAATTTTAACAAATCGAAGTAATCACGTGACAGTGTTTCAGTTGTAGTTATACAGTACAAGTAAATATACTAACATACCCACAAGTAGCGATGTATCCACAGAACTCACAAATAAAGTACGGCTCTGTACCGTTAAAGAATTGGTTACATATGAGTTTCCTAACTAAGGCAGTGCTGGAACAAAACAGGTCAATATCATGTGGTACTTGGTTAAAGGATTTACATGCTCGTAAAACGAAAGTGTTCTCTCTGTGTCTGGTCCTGACTGTAGGGACATTTAATATGGCTCTTTATCTAAGTCTTAGGGTATTAGTCCTTAAGTTTATTTTTGATAGCAGGTCCGAGCAAGCTTCTTCCGTTCGCAATATTCATAAGATAACAGATATCGTTAATATTGCGTCTCATTTTGCATTCATTCATTTTTCAGATTCTCATATTTTCAGCATCGCAATGCTCGAATTCATCTCCACATGATGGAATCTGAGTGTACTCGGATAGTACGGTTTTAAGAGAAGATTCCTCCCGCGTACACTTAGATTGTATAATGAACTATCTGCCGAGGTTTTTTCTAAAGAATTTTATGAATTTTCTAAATATTTTCTTTAAAGAATACAGCATATGGTTTTAAAAGAAAGTAAGGTTTCTGAAGGGTCGGTAATGCGCACGTGACAGCCATGGTGTTTCAGGCATCCATAGGCATCCATAGGTAACTATTTACCAACAGATGGTATGCTTGAAAAAAAATTCACACTAACTCACTACAACTCACACAGCGTTATCTAGCAGAACTGGTACTATGATTATTTAACAACTGACAGAAATATTATAATATATTTTTTTGTATATATGTACCTACACATACAAATGTTTGCATCTTGAGAGGAATCAAATCAACCACAGGAAGTACTAATATGTGCTATTCCGCTAGACCACCTATTTACCATACATTTAGAGTCATCTAATTCTAAATTAGACTTACAAAATTATTCAATATTACATCATCTTAGAAAGTAATTTACAAAGAATAATAAAAAAAGTTCAAAACAAAAATAAAATAAAGGAAAAGTATGTGAGTAGACTGTGTATGTGAGCCTGCGTTTGTGTGTGTTTGTATATATGTGTGTATGTGGATGTCGGTGTGTGCGTGAACATAAGGAAGTTTGTGAGTGTGTGCTTTTAATACTTAACTAAACTTATAATCTTCAACTACAGTCAAAATCAGCTCTATGTCATCGTAGGTCAAAATATGATTACATAGGATATTTTATATATGTATATATATTCTTTATTGCACTTTTAAATACAGTTCTAAACTTAACATATACAGAGTGAGCAAAGGTGGACTTATCTCTAAGAGAGATCTCTACCAGTCAACCCAACAATGTGGCATAAATAGTGCGATTTCAACCTTTTCTTAAAACAACCAATTGATGGACTTTCCTGTATCTGTACTGGTAGCTTGTTCCATAACCGAGCAGCGCGAAATGAAAAGGAATTTCCTAAGAATTGAGACTTGCCAAGTGGAAGTTTTAACATTTTGGAGTGGTTTTGGCAAAGACGTCTCGGTCTAGTAGGAGGGCAAGAATTGAAAGCGGGATTTAAGGTAAGCAGGAGCATTGGGATTATTAAGGATGTATATAGCAGGGTCAGGATGTGCATATTATGTCGAAGGCGGATTTGGAGCCACTTTAAACGAGCTATTTTGACTATAATTCACCTGGGTTTTCCCACAGGATCTAACTAGTAAACAATGAAATTGAAATTCTCATCACATTGGGAGATATTGGTTAGTAAATGTATTAAACAACTATCTAAATTCGTAAATTTGTTTTTTTTATTTATTTTATTTTTCTCTCGTTTCTCTTTACCTTATATTGTTCTTTTTATTCTCTGTGGTGTAAATGTCAGATTGTTTGGTATGTATTCATATAGTTGTGTACGTATTGTGTATGAGTATGTATTTGTATATCATATTATATAATCCTTCTTTGTTTATATATTTTTATATTTATGTATTATTGTAAATGTAATAGTATAAATATTATTATATAATTTTTTATGCCTTGATTTTTTTTTTTTTTTGTTATGATTATTCTTGCACCGCCATTAATTTTTCTCTGTACCGCCTATGGTTGACTGGTCGAAAATACCGCATGGTGTTAAGTCCGCCAAATGTACTGTTACTTTTGTACTGTGTGCATTAAAGTTATATAAATAAAATAAAAATAAAATAAACTCACCTCCCCTCAGTTCGCAGAGTAGCGTGAAGTTGCCGCCTTCTTCTAAAGGCCCCACCACACCAGCAACGTCTCGTCCTGCTTCGTCGTACAATAGCAGCTGATGTGGCGGCACTAAATGAAATAATATTAAAAAAATAAGTAGGTAAGTAACTACTTTTTCATGTGTGGGTGATGTTTTTATATTGGTTTTTAAGTTTTTTTTTAATAATCAAGAAATAAATAATAGCTTTCTACAGTCGTCTGCCTCCTCGTACAATAGCAACTGATGTGGGGGAACTAAATGAAATAGTATTCAATAAATAGGTAGGTAAGTAACCACTTTTTTACGAGTGGGTAATTTTTTTTTTTATTTATTTAAAGTTTTATTTTAAATAAATAAAAAAAAATAGCATTCTACACTCTTTCTCTATATAAACTATAAGTTTTATATTATAGGCATATTTACAAACAATCACTAAAATAATCATTATAATCACCAATCAATACGGCACATCGAGGCAGCGTACGCAAGATACTGGCAAAGTTGCCTTTTTGAATGGCCATACTTACCCTCTGGGCAAAGTAGCTATCAGTTCGCGGGTCACAAGTAACCTCAATAAGCCACGCTGAAGTACTTGTCAAAAACAATTTAGTTTAACTATCAGTGTGCAAAATCCATCCCCGCAATTTTCGTAAAAATGAGTACAAAGTTTTTGCTTTAGGTATGAATAATAATCTCAGGACAATTCACACAACGCCATCTAGTCCCAAGTTAAGCTACCTAAAGCTTGTATTATGGGTACTAGATAACTGATAATACGTAGATATATATTTATTTTATAAATACATACATATTATATATAGAAAACACCTAGAACTTATATTATAAAATACGTATGGACTTTCTACAAAACGAAACATTACCGCGTTTTAATTTTGTTACGGCACCATCTATTGGCGTTGCATGCAAACAATAATATTCTATTGGTTACTATCTATTTAAACTCTGTCAGATACTTACCTACAACGTTGAGTCGTATCTGAAAGTTTCTAGTTGGTGAATTCTTGAAGTCAACTCTGCATCTGTAGATGCCTTCGTCATCCAGCTGTACGGCATCCACCGTGAGGGACGAAGGTCGGGACATGGTGACGAAATATGCTCGTCTGCCGAATGCCAGCGGATCCGACCAGTGGAGGGCTTTGTTGAAGCTGCGGCCGCGTACGTCGAAACTGTTGACAAAGATAGAATAGAATAGAATAGAATTTCATTGACTCTTCTTGATATAACAATATAATATAACAATTACAAATTAAATAAAAACAATAATGTGTCGTTTGTATTTACTGAGATATTGCCTCTTGGTAATATGTAAATGCAAATATTCTATATTTCTATCCTTTTTGACGGCCTCGGTAGTCTAGCGGTTTACAGTTACTAGCACACTGCTTTACTTCACGATGATCGTAGGTTCGATTCCTCGTACTATGCAATCATTTGTATTCATGAATATGATTGTTTGTATCAGTATTATATATATAGTATTTTCTATTTACAAGAAAATATCTATTTAATTCTTTATACCAGTTGTCTAGTACCATAACATAAACTCAGGTTAGCTTATGACTAGATGGCGCTGTGTGAATTGTCCAAGATTATTATTTTAATCAATTGTTATTACAATGACAATATACTGACTGATGATGTAATAAATATGTCTTTTGTTATATTGTTTGTGCTTCTTCTTTACTGTACGTTGCAAATAAAGTATATTCTATCTATCTATCTATCTATAAGCTATTAAGTGAGTGAATTCTATATATCTGATGGGTGTAGTATGCGATAACTTTGCCATTAGTCATGTATCTACCCTGCCAACATGATGAAGATGTTAAGGCGATTTTCCGCAACACCGCACAGCAATTAAGGGTAGGTATGATTAAATAGCTCGCTGTAATGTAGTTCTATGTGTGCATTGCACTTCAGTCTTGGGAGATTGGTTTGGATGTAATAGTATATGAAAATAGCGGTTAAGAACTCCAGAGACGCTTTGTTCGGATATGCGTGAATTGTAAATATTACTCATATATATAATAAATAAAATATAATATATAAAAAATAGATAGATCGTTTATTACTACTTTCAGCATATATGTATCAAAATAATATATAATTGTATGCTTGATTGCCACCATAGTAGTATAAAAAAAAATCTCAGGACAATTCACGCAGCGCCATCTAGACCCAAGTTAAGCTAGCTAAAGCTTGTGTTATAGGTACAAGATAACAGATACATATACATAGATTTTTTTTTTGTAAATACAAACATATTATATTATACATAGAAAACACCCAGACCAATACACACTCATACTCATGAATACAAATGTTTGTGCCGTGCGAGGAATGGAACCCGCGACTATCGGTCGTAAAGCGGTGTGCTAGACCGCTAGACCACCGAGGTTGTCAATACATATACATTAACTGTCTGATAAAAGATTTTTTCTAAAATACAAATAGCTTAAGTTAATCCTTATTACATCAGCTACCTGCCAAAAAAAGTTTCGACAAAATCGGTCCAGTCACTTCAGAGATTAGCCGGAACAAACAGATAGACATACAGACAGACAAAAATTGTAAAAAATGTTAATTTGGTGTATGTACCGTATTTATATTCATATACATGTAGTAAAAACGGTTAATTCAATATTACAAACAGACACTCCAATTTTATTTATATGTATTGATTTAACGCGGTGAAACCGCGGGCACAGCTAGTATTTATATATTTGTAAACAGAGCCTGCTCTTTCTTAATTGGACGAATGCGGACGAGGCTGCAGCCACAATAAATAATACAATAGAATTACATTAAAAACACAAAAAGAAAGCTGTACCCCGGGAGCGTTGTGTGTATAAAAGAAGATTTTTAAAAATTCCTTATCTGCAAAGCGGAATCCTTCACATTTGTCAAACGAAACGGGGATAAAGCTGGCACACACGATTGCTTGCGTTAACAATCCGATAAAGGTTCTCTCACACTGGCGCAATATTTAATTCCTGTTTCTCTTTATGATAATATGAATGTGGATGGATGTAAAGGGAGGACGCCCTAAGAAAAGATGGATGGATTGTGTGAAAGATGATATGAATAAAAGAACATTATGTTCAGATATGACGACCGATAGAGAGCAGTGGAAGAGAATGACATACTGCGCCGACCCCAAATAATGGGATAAAGGCAAGGCAATGATGATGTTTCTCTTTATGATCCTAGTTTACAAATTGTTTCATATAATTCGACGTTTACATTAATATATATTAAGAAATTTAAAACCTATATCGTAGATTAAAAAAATGTAATTAACACGATGGATAATAATCAAAAATAAATATATGTCATTATGTTACATCTTCATTGGGACTGGCATTCTCATACGATAAAAGTCCCTAAATAAATCTAAGATTAAAAAAATTACAACTTATATTCTTTTCTATTATTATCTAGCGTGAATAATTTTCTAATAATTAGTTATAATAGAAGTATTTTATTTCTACTCAACGTTCTATAAAAGATCTTTCACGTTGTGTTCGCGCATTAAAAATCAGACGAAACCTTTAACGCGGGAAAAATACAAACACCAAAGTTTTTCTTTAAGACTAATAAAATAATTAATTTGGAATACCCACACATTCCTAACTATCGAATTAGACAGATTTTATAACAATAGTATCTAATTATGCATCCAAGTGTGGTGTGTCAAGAATGGATAAGATAAAGAATGAATACATTAGAGGAAGTATGAAAGTGGCGCCGGTGTCAGAGAGGTTGAAGAGTAATCGTCTATCATGGTATGGACATGTAATGCGTAGGAACGAGGATAATATTTTAAGAAAGGTGTTACAAATGAATGTGGATGGTTATAAGGACAGAGGAAGGCCGAAAAAGAGATGGATGGACTGTGTGAAAGATGATATGGTAAGAAAGGAAGTAAATAACGCGATGACTGCGAATAGGGATGAATGGAAGCGAAAAACATATTACGCCGACCCCAAATAAATGGGATAAGGAAGAAGCAGATGATGAGCATCTAAGTATGCAAATAAATAAATAAATAATTTGTACAGTTAGCCGTTACTGGTCATTCGACCGCAGTTTAAACCATTCAATATCCGTCGAGCCCTGCGTTGGTCGCGGCTCGTTAGCGCCGTAACTGTAAATAGGCTATGCGACACACCCGATTTGCTATAATCCTCTAAATCTGCTTACGGATATAATGCGGGCGGATCAATAGCGGAGTTTATACGGCCACGGAATAGATTAAAGATCCCTTATGACAAGGCTCTAAAATGAGGGGCAATATGGAGTAGTGATGGGGAAATTAGTGCTGATTTTTCAGAGTGATTGCTGGCCCTATTTTGCCCCATCACGATTATTCCAATATTGCCCTGATTTTAGTATAGTGTTAAGCCCATTTAACCTACTTATAGTTATAATGTGGGCGGATCAATAGCGGAGTTTATACGGCCACGGAATAGATTAAAGATCCCTTATGACAAGGCTCTAAAATGAGGGGCAATATGGAGTAGTGATGGGGAAATTAGTGCTGATTTTTCAGAGTGATTGCTGGCCCTATTTTGCCCCCATCAGGATTGTTCCAATATTGCCCCTGATTTTAGTATAGTGTTAAGCCCATTTAACCTACTTATAGTTATAATGTGGGCGGATCAATAGCGGAGTTTATACGGCCACGGAATAGATTAAAGATCCCTTAGGACAAGGCACTAAAATGAGCGTCAATATGGAGTAGTGATGGGGAAATTAGTGACGATTTTTCAGAGTGATTGCTGGCCCTATCTTGCCCCCATCACGATTGTTCCAATATTGCCCCTGATTTTAGTATAGTGTTAAGCCCATTTAACCTACTTATTGTTATAATGCGCGCGGATCAATAGCGGATTTTATACGGCCACGGAATAGATTAAAGATTCCTTAGAACAAGGCACTAAAATGAGGGGCAATATGGAGTAGTGATGGGAAAATTAGTGCTGATTTTTCAGAGTGATTGCCGGCCCTATTTTTCCCCTACCACAACTGTTCCAATATTGCCCCTGATTTTAGTATAGTGTTAAGCCTATTTAACCTACTTATTATAATGCGGGCGGATCAATAGTGCAGTTTATACGGACACGGTATAGAGTAAAGATTCCTTAGAACACGGCACTAAAATAAAGGGCAATATGGAGTAGTGATGGGGAAATTAGTGCCAATTTTTTAGTGATTGCTGGCCCTATTTTGCCCCCACCACAATTGTTCTAATATTGCTTCTAATTTTAGTATAGTGTTTAGCCAATTTAAGCTACTTATAGCCACGGAATAGATTAAGGATTGTTAAAACAGGGTACTAAAATAAGGAGAAGTGATGGGGATATTAGGGCCGATTTTTCAGAGTGATATTTCTCCTGATTTTAATATAGTGTTTAGCTCATTTAAACACTTATAATGGGGGCAGATCAGCATCAGTAGCAGAATATTGCTCCTGGTTTTAGTGTTGGGTGTATACCATATTTCATGATTTCATGATGATCGGTTCAGTAGTTTTTGCGTGAAATGCGTAACAAACATCCCTACTTTCACATTTATAATATTAGTAAAGATAAGGATTAAGATTAAGACAACACACAATCTATGTAATTAAACAATGAACTGATAAGTCCTCGTTTGATCGGTCGTTCGTCGGTCGAGCGCCCGGTAAAGTCGAGGATTCTGGTACAGTCTCTACAACGTTAGGTAACCAAAATCTAACTTTGCTTTAAACTTTAAACTTTAGGGAAATCCGGTTGGTCTCAGTCTTCAAGTATATATATTTAAAATTTAAAACATTATATACATTGACTAATATTATATGTGTTAAGGTTGAATAGCGCTAGTCTATGCCTGTAAGGTTGAATAGCGCTAGTATATGACTAGAGTGGTTACTAGGGCTACCCTCCTTGTTTATTGTCACTCTAAAAAAAAAAAAAAACTGATAAAGTGTGTGTCATGTATGCGTTACAATATTTGGTAAGCCACTCTAGTTATATTAATATGCACAATAAATATATATCTTTATATATAAAAATTACGTGTCACGTTGTTTGTCCGCGATGGACTCCTAAATTTGATTTGCACATTGTGTGCAATTTGATTTAACTTGAAAGATAGCTTACATCTCAATTTATAGTTGCAATAT